CAATATGCGTTTTTGCTGGCTGTAGCAGCGCTATAGCGCTGCACAGCAAAAACGCATAAAAACGAGTGCATTTTGCAGCGAACGGCCGCCCTCACCCTCTTCCAACATCCAGTTCCTCTACATATTTGGAATTTTTAACGAACGACCGCTCTGGCAACATTTGCACTTTTCAGTGAAGAACTGAAATTTTTGCATTTGCAAAAATTTGCATTTTTCATTCTTCCGAAAAACGAGCATTTACTGAGAAAACAACCGGACTTCACGCAAAAAACTGATAATCGTGTACCTGGAGGTCCATCCGGCCCTATGATGCAACACCTTCATCTCAACCGATGCCCTTTCTCCAGCATACTGGAAGAGGCTAAAGCACGACCAATATGAGCACAGGTATTAGGCTACAGCGCATGGATCATTCGTGCTACTTGCGATATGCGAGTTTATTGCAAAAACGCATGATCGCACCGGCAAGTCTGGTGCGTGTTCAGCCTGGGCTTATTTTCTAGTCCATTCATATTCCTTACAATGTTTATTGGAAATTGTTTTCGGTCATTCGCTACTTAAACTACTCATCTTTTGTACCTTGGTGGCATTTTAAAGGAATGCTTATTTAGGTTGTTGATAGTTTGAGAAATCAGTTGGTCACGGTACGACAAACCTCAGAGCAGCATTTTTTGTGGTCACGAATCCCGATGGATTTGTGGATTCGCTGTGGTGGAGCAGTTGTTTTTGATCAGGACCCTTTACTAAGGTACTGCTTTTTGGATTAGCCCTCACCACTTTTGTTTTCCATCTTTTCAGTTTTGTGAAAGCATGCTTTATTGTTATTGTCATGCAGCAGTCGGTGGTCAGTAGATTGCAGCCTGTGGGATAAATTGTGCAGCTCTGCGGATGAAGGCATTGTGAGGTTATTGTCCACCGTTATCTATAGGCTCCTTGTTGAGCTGAAACCTTTTTTATTAAAAGTAAGTGTGTATTTATGATCTTGGATTCTTTTTAAAGCACAGGTTTTGATTATTAAATATGATAAAATGGTATAGTTCGGAGGCAGAAGGCTGTCGACAAGTTTAAGGAATTCATATAATAGTTTGCTGTTATACATAATTTTTTCATCACGAATTCTTTCAGGATAGTAGTTTGGAAATAGGCCCAGGATGCTTAGCGATCAAGACGCAACAGTTCCTGATAGCGAGGTCTATTGATAGCATGCTTCGTTCAGGAAGATTTGGCTCAAAAAAGTACGAGCAGTATGAAACGTGCTAGCAGTTCATTTTGGTTGCTAACGCCATATTCTTGGTAATTTCTTTGTTTTTTATCTGAATTCTGTTAATGTGCGGAAACTGATTAAGGAAGGGCAGGTGCTTTTTAAAAATTTTGGATGGTATTTTGAGTTAAAATTGTTTCTGCTTTGTTACAGTGCCTTTCAATCCGTTTCTCTGGTAATATTTAAAAAACAAAAACTGTTTTATCGTTTTACGTATGTTAACCCAACCTCTGCTTTGGCCGTGCGTCAAGACCAAAAATATAAGGTGCTCTGCGTGTCATCAGCGATTTTTAAGTATGTTATCTCTTATTTTTTGTCTTTACAAGATAATTTGAATTTATCTGATCAGATTACAGTGCACAGCATGAAGCCGGGTAAAGTAAAGGGGCAAGGACAAACGCATACGAAGGAAACCGAGCTGGTGGTGAAGAGACTGCAAAATCACCGAATTTACTATCCATATATCGGATGCTTTTGCTAAAGCCAGCTGAGGGAAATAAAACAGAAAAATATCGAATTGATTGTCAAATAGTGCAAGATGGAAAGTCTTCAGCAAATAATGATTTACCTTTTTCAACAATAAAATAGTGCTTACCGTAAAAACATACTTTTCAGTTCCGCTGTATCACTACTTCTACTATATGGATGCGAAACGTGGAACATTATACTTGCTAAGAAGTCAGTAGCGTTCCAACAAGTCATGGAAGGCCGTGTGGTAGATGTGGTCAGATGGCAGCTCGTTTTCATTTTAAGCACTGCAATTTGCTTTTGGTGTAAAGGATGTTCTCTAAACATGGTAAATGCAGAAGAAAAGCTGGGCTTGCCCTGTGTGGCAAGGAAATGAGGCAACAGATGGACGAAGCAAATTGTAAAGAATCGAACGTTTCTGCTGTCATAATGCTAAATTAGAAACTAACGGATGTGATTTAGATGCGAGCAAGGTGACAACTGCGTCACTGACTGAAGTAAGCAACAGCTGAAGTATTAGGCATTTAAAGTAATAGCTAGTTGTCGTGCACTTATGCCCTCACATCCTACAATCCGTTTTTCCATGCCAGTTTTCAACAATCCGTCAGTGTGAAGTAGTTATCGATTTCCATTCAAAAAATAAAAAGAAGAGTACCTAGAACTATTTGGTTGTGCCACCGTAATCGTATTTGAACCCAGCAATTGCTAAATTATTAAAACGGCTCAGCAGTTTCGGAATTGGACTGGGAGGAGTCTATGGATAGCTGTATGAGGATGTGGGGAATCGGGATTAGGGTTTGAGATCTTCCCGAGGCGTGTAGACACTGCTAACATGCTTGCGTACATTGGAGAACCAGCTGGGGCAAATAATGAGTGCATGCTGTGTTCGACGCCACATTTGCTTTTATCCAGCATTTCTTTTGGCGTTTTAGTTTCCAGTTTAGGCTTTTCAGCAACTGATTAATTTGTTAAAATCAACATTTTCGAGGTGATTTTAGCTCCTCTTGGGCTACATTTTGCTTCTCACCAGTCAGTTTTTTTTTTTTTCATCCCTTGCTCTCCATATCTTTCTTCTCCCGTTCTCTTTCCGTAACCAAACTATATTTTCACTCTGCCCAACTTTACGCATCGGGCATAATTTTGCTGATTCGTTTTTTCATCACGGACGACTTTGGCGTTTGGTGACCATCCCTCTCACTTGTTCGTACCGCCGAATATGTCTGCGAATCTTCATATAAGTAATTAAAAATATCAAAGTTTTCATGGAGTGTGGGAAAGTCTTCCCTTTCGTGCTTAGAGGGGCCAGTACTATCTGGCGATTTTGATAAAACAGGACCAGCTGCCAAAAATCTTTGCAACCTGTAATCCGTTTCTGCAGGATGATAATGGGAAAGCGAATCCAGCTTCCATTGCATAGGAGAAGAGGCATTGGAGGTGGGGAGGGAAGGGTAGAGTTGCGAAGTATTTTGCACTGTATCGTGAATTGTTTTTGCTAAGCAGCCTAGTAGTATTTCAGCTAGCAAATATTTAGGGTGCTTTTTATGCAGTTTATCCTTAACGGGAGCTTTTTTTAATTTTTCGAGAAAATGGGGAAATAGCGGAGAGGGACCATTTTGGCCTTGTGAGAACCGCCTCATCAGGAGGTGTCATTGTGATCGAAAAGGTCGAAACTGGAATCTCCCACACTGTTTTTGTTCGAAGCCATAGATGCTGATTACTGAAAGTCATTTTATGCGTTCCTGGTGCGCTGCAACAGGCAGCAAAAGCGCGAAGTTTGACGACCCTGTTTATGAGTGGACGTGTGTGTGTGTGTATATGTGTGTGAGTGTGAGTGTGTGGGTATGTATGTGTTTGGAGGCATGTGTATGTGGGGGGTATGTGTATGTGGGGGGGATGTGTATGTGGGGGGGTATGTGTATGTGGGAGGTATGTGTATGTGGGGGGTATTTGTATGTGGGGG